ATTATTGGTTCCACTGTACTTGCTAGACTATGTTAAGGAAGAATGAGTTTAGCTTGTCGAATCGACTCCTAGAGAGAAGGTATTGTATGGAAATGTTCAGGAACGAATAGAATTCCACGTCTCAAATTCCGTCGCGAATTATAAGCTGTCTAAAACGGGATTTAGACGTGTGTAGGTAAACAAATATTTCGCGACACGTTCAAAACACTTGCTCGGCGAACTACGTTCCGCCAGCACAATTGCTAAATGCCATAAATGCCGCGCGGTGTTTGTTATGTAAACTGCATAGCCGTTTATTTCGTTAAAGAGAAAGCTTTGTCCAATCGCAAAATCCACGTTACAACTTATGCTACTTACATAACGACAACTCATACTATCATCCGACTTAACATCAATTTTTACCTAATTTGTAGTTTTCAGCAGCATTGGAATTATTAGACAAGGAGAGAAGCAGCTTGTACATTCTCTCATCGAATCGAGATATGCGTTTGTATTTTCACTGGTTGTCGATTCTGCGCTACGAAGTGCAAAACGTTGCTATTACTGCTATTTCGCGACCGCGGTTTACTAACAGCAACAAACTGTCTCGCTGATGGTATTTTTCCGCGAGACGTGGGCCGATTGGCAGCTCAACGTAGAACCGGTCTGCAAAATAAGTCATAAGTATAAAAAAAAGGAAAGGAAAGGAAATGAAGAGGAAAGAGATGTTTGCATTTTGGCAATTTGGTGTCCGCTTTCAGGCAGCGCGCTATTTTTCTACATAATCACTGAGATATTAGACCGGAATAATGTTTGTCTTCTCGTTGACTAACTAATAAAGGACACGGGGAGTATTTTTTTGCTATGGGGATTCACGATGCGTCGAGGAGACGGCAAGGGTCACAACTCGATGAATAAACCGCAGGCTTTTCGGGAGCGCGACCGACACAAGTTGGTGTTGCTTTTTGCGCATATCTTTTTCGGGTTTCGTGGAAACGGGTCTTGGATCGGCCATACCGATTGCTCGGCCGATCGACGTGTCATCAGTATGGCGTCAACCAGTAGTAAAACTGGCAAAATCGCTGTTTAGTCAGCATATTTCCATCGGGAAGATACACCTTTCTTTTTCCTACTTGGAGGGCACACAGAGGATATCATCGTATATATAACTGCCAACCGGTTTTAATGAGATTCGCTAGTTTCGGTGGCATCAGTCACGACATTCATTGACTCGCAAATCGTTCAATATGGCTTGGAATAACGCATTATCCCCGCCGAAATTACAAATGTGCCAGCTGTCTTTGTCCGGCCAGCGCAGACGACAGAGGCTTTTACCGTCGCTCTCGTTACTATCTCGAGACGCAGAATGATTTAAGAAAGAGGTCTACGAATTTAGGAGCATATAATGTTCACAAATAGATGAGAGATGAATGATACAACACAGGACGAGAAGTGACCTTTTCGTAGAGGGAACAGGCTTTTGCTTACACTGGCGGGGGTGACAAATGTGGCCGAGCAATGCAAGAGTGTCAAAAGTGTATTAAAACAAAACGGCATTTCAAAAGATGTTACGATAATGTGGTATCTCGTCTGGACATAATTGAGAGATGTATTCACTACATGCTGATTCATGTACGAATAGTTGTTTTCGACAGAAGCAGTTATAACGGCGCGCGCACAAATAGCGTGAAGAGCGTGCAATCAAAACAAGAGTCTGGATTTAAAGGAACATTTGAGCGGCCTATTAAAATCTCGATCATGCACGGAAAAAACAATTCTGTTGGTGCGACCGAATTTTCGGTTGCCCAGGAATCAAACGAAAACTCGACTGTAGGAACAGAAAAATTCCTTTTGAGGCTTTTGTATAGTCAATTGTTTTCAGTTGCTTCAACCGAGTTCTAATATCGTTGAATGTTCAGACGAATATTTTCGGTTACACGACATTTTCCCGAAAAGTAGATGGGAAAATGGTGGTACCAACAAAAACCCTTAGGCAACAATTCTAATTTCTGCGGATTAGTGACACTATTGAAGTAGCAAGTCCATGAATTTTGCGGAGTCGTTTTGACATATGTGTGTGTATGTGTGGAATAACAAACTGTCACTAATCCGCAGAAATTAAAATTGTGTTGTCTTGAGATTTTTGTCGGTACAAACATTTTTCCATCTAGTTTTCGGGAAAATATCTTGTAACCATATTTGGCTAAATATTCGGGAAAATATCTTGTAACCATATTGACAACAGAAATATTAGTTTTCAAAACAGAGATATCGCTTCTGATTACCTAATTTTCAGTTGGTTCCTATTCGCTTGCACCAACTGAGATTTTTTTGCGTGTGGTTTCTTGCGCCCGGAAAAAGTCATAAGCCGAATATATTAGTTCCGCGCCAATACTTAAGAAAAAGGAATTACTTTACACCAATTCTTAATCTCAGGATAAAGAATGTACGTCATATCGTGCACTACTTCTGATTTTAGATATCAGCAGCTTATGAATTTCTCCTATTCGCTCCACCAAAACGAGACTACGACATAATCGCATTAACGTGTCGTCGCATATTTGGTCAATCGATTCGTCATTTACGAAACTACACAGAAAAAAGAGTTGGTTGAATTAATTTGAGTTCGTAATACATTAATCAGACTATTTGGTGAGAAATGAACGAATCATAATTTTGATTAAAGTAACCCAACAAATTTGATTACATGTGTTCTGGTTAAAATAATCAGATGTATGTTTAGTTATAGTAATAAGATTATATATTCACCTTCCTTACTAGAAATTTTATTACTTTTCTAACTAAAACTGTGTATATTCTGAAAGATGTTAGCATGATTATTTTGAAATTAGCCGCTTAATTGATTTAATTTTATACTGTACTTCAAGAATTCGTTTTTACTCTGGGATTTAATCGGGATTGTGAGACTTCTATCTACACGTTACGCCACTTCTCCATTTGATACATCTGTTATATATTGCTTAGCGTTGAACATAAGAATATATGATTATAATAATCAGAAATTCTGTTTAGTTTAACCAACAGACATTTAACTAAATGGCTAATCCAACGTTAATCCAATCATATTCTTTCGTCGCGTGTAGTCATAATAACCAAACACTTCGATATTATTACTACATATGCGGTAACCAAACTGGCTAGCTATTATAAATAATTAACTATACACTAACTATTATAATTAGAACTGTTACAACTAAATGTTCTTATTATATGCTAGAATATCTCATTATAATAACCGTAAAATAGAAAGTCTGTTTATCTTCATCAAAATTTGCTTAAACGAACATGTCATGTTAATTCAACCAGGCTCTTTTCTTCTGTATAAAAGCGAATAAAAGCGAACACAGGGCCCACGAAGAGCAGTGTCTGGCCCTGAGTTTATCCGGTAAAAATTAAACTTTCATGCGTAATGGCTCTTCGCTCGAGCACGAGACTCTTTCACCTCGATGTGCACCTCGAAAGTTTTACTATCAAGAGTCTCTGTCTTCCTCTCATGGATGCGCGCACACTCGACAAAATAAACTCCGAATTCTGTGATGGTTAATCGAAAGTTCCGCACAGTAAAAACTCTCACTCTCAGGTTATAAAATTCCCCGTCGTCGGTACTTAATCTCATGGAAGAGTATATTGAATACCGTTGAAAACTCATACGTCAAACGTTGCTTGCGCTCGTTAAAGTGGCCAGAGTGATCACTTGTGAACTTCAACAGCCGCAATAAAGATGTTTCCGTAGCATTGAAATATTTGACGAGTGTGGTGGGAAACATTGTCATCACAAGCGAAGATATTTATACACTGCATACGCATGAAAAATTTTTGTTGAGTAATATAGCATACTAACCCAGACATAATGTCTAAAATCGGGACATAAGATAATCTTAAAGATAATCTTTAAGATGTCTTAAAAACATTTATACGTAAATCGTCTGAAAGACATCTTAAAAATGATTTTTAAGACATCTTAATGTCTCGATTTTAGACATTATGTTGTCTGGGAATACACTAAGAAAAAAATATTAAAAAATTAACAAATATTTATTAGATGAATACTATTTACATATTTACTTAAATAAAAATTCTCTTCATTTATTTATTGTTTATTTAAACCGAGTAAACAATACGCGGTTTAAATGACAAAGAATTTTGATTTAAGTAAATATGTTAATGGTACTCACCCAATAAATATTTATTAATTTTTAGATATTTTTTTCAGTGTAGTACTGAAGATTTGTATAAAATTTGTTTTATTGTAAAATTAATATGTAAAATTAAGGATATGTTACATCTCCAAACAAATTACATAATTTAACGTATTCTACGGGGTGAAATTGTCTTCGTAAATCTCATTTATGATAACTATCATAAAGTATAGACTTTTCCCTACAAATTAAAAAAAAGAAGTTTCTACGATTTTATCGCAGAGTTACGGCTGTTACGTCTATGTAATGTTTACAAATCAGAATGATTTGATCGGATACATCGGATATCGAACACCACTCAGGATATCATAAGCAAGCTATAAACTCGGGTACCATAAACCTGGATAACCTGTGAACAAATAATAAGCTATTAGTATTTCGATTTATGATATTGATTATTTCTCTTATGGCTTGAAACACATTTTTTCACTTTTTAAACAAGGTAACAAGAACTCGCGCGGGGGATTTCTCACCGCGTGCTTATGAAAAGGCGACAGTAAATCAAAGCGTCAATTCAATTCACAGTCGCAATTCGCATTAGCATTGGCATTCGCATTAGCATTCCCATTCTTATTCTTATCTTCCGGTCTTTAGTCTATCAAGTATCTTAGTCTTTCGGATAATTCGCACATCTATTACTTGCATAAGTTATGCATATTCTAACAAATTATTTCTAAGAGTGCGGTATCTCGAAACCGGAATTGAAGCTCAATCATTCGTAAGATCGCTTCATTATTTAATCATTATTTAATCTGTTTTTAACACACACTATTACGATTTATCCTATGAATCAAATCGTAACTATGGCTTGTAGCTAACCTATAAATAAAGGTTTATATTTAAAAGGCATTCTTCGAATTTCGATTATCACTTACAAGGGTAGTGTTACATTTAATTCTTATATTGCCAAACTTCTTCAGTCTGTCTCTCCAATCTTTAGTCTTGCTCTGCTCACAAATGAGAAACCATCATTTACTAAAGTTTTGCAGTAGATACTCCTTATAAAAATTATAAGTTATCTAAAAATCATCAACGTACATTTACACTACGTATACAAGTTTGTCTATCCCGAATAAGTTGGCTCTTCTTCTGACTCTAAAAAAGACAAATTAACAACAATCATTAACACATGTTAGCGACGTCACACGGCGTATTAAAGTTACTTATGGATTTTTATTAAATTACTGCCAGTATAACTCCATATGGAAATTTTCCAAACATTACTAAATATAACATGGATTCTGATCAAATTATCAAAACGTGTTTTAAACAGATGTATCGTATTGTGGTACTAAAATTGGACAGATTTCATTTTTATCCCAAATATAGAAAATTGTCTAGAATTTAATTTGGATCTATCTTGATTTCTCAAATAAGTGAAAATTGCGATTCTAAGTGTGACTGTGTACGGGATTTTATGCATCGTAAATGCTCCAGATTTTACTTGTACTTTGATATCGTTAATGAAAATATTCTTGTATCTCACACTGACTCGCGGGATGCACGATTTCACACGTACAATCGAAGAGAGACCAATCGCGAACTCTGACGAGACCTCGATTCCCTCGAGGGAACGGCACGCGCTCGTAATTCTCAAGCCGATTTCCGGACTCCTTGAGCAGCGGCGACCGTCAGCCGACCGGGCCAAACCTGAAAAATGCATCAAGGCGAAATGGTTCCCATACATCGGCGATGCCCGTCCAGTTACGGAATGCGCGACGTGCAATGAAACGCGAAAAGGAGCGATTTCGATTCGCGGACACGTCCCTGAGACACGGAGAGAGGACAGGAGGCATCTTGTTCAAACCGACGATCATTGCTCGCTAACGGGCGCCGGAATCTCTATCTTAAAAGTTCGTAACGAACAAGACTCTTAGGTGAATTAATATTAAGGTATAAAAGATCACAAAGATGTTTTTTTCCGGAATTTTTATAGAAAAATGGAAAAACCAATAGTATAATGTCTAACTTTGCATATTCTTTATTTCAAGAATATATTTTATTATTTAAGTGAGACAAAAACGCTTTCCTTCAGTGTGTTACATCCTTCCGAAAATACACATACAAACAGTGTAAGTGATTTTGTCTTTTCTAAATATCTGAACAAAATATTTTCTTTTTCAGGAAAAGTGCGGCTATCGTTTGAGCTAGAACAGATATTTATGTACAGATTATACATTTATTAGTACTTTTTCTCTTAATAAGACACTAACAACACTTTGTGGAAAAACTAAAAACTTTTTTTAATGAAAAGGCTGCCATTTTGCGCAGAATGGTAATGTTGAATTCTAGATCAGACAGTAGCCATATTTCTCTTGCATAAATAAACTTTTGATTTTTGCGTTTCAGATACTTAATGGGCCTTCTACAATAAGCTATTAGTCATAAATCGTAGGTTGACTAATCATATTATCGTCGATTATTTTTGAAAAAGTCGACTGTGATTGGTTAATGTGCTCGTGACTTATGACTAATAGCTTATTGTAGTGGAACCCATAAAAGAACCGGAACCTTTTACGCTCGTATACGTTCTTTTTTACTCCTAGTAACAAGGATATAATATACAGGAGAAAAACGTCTTTATCTCACTTAGACAATAAAAACATATCTTCAAAATAAGACTTAATAAATAGCTTAAGCTCAAAGCTTCACGTTATTCGATTTTCTCGTCTTCTACAAAAAGTCCCGGAAAAGTATTTTTTTTTTGCGACCTTTCAATCTAGAATACTCCTTTAATTTATGGAGGTAACGGTGGAAGAAAAGGTCAACATTCGCACGTTGTTTTTTAAGTCTACAGTCGTGCAAAAATAATTTTTCGTTCGCCGTCACTCACTTTGCATAAATAAATTATTACCGCCCATCGTTCCGAATCGTGAGACTCCAATTCGTCATAATTCTCTCTGTCGGTAATATACAATCTGGCGAGCCGATACGACAGCTGTCCGGCACGTACAATCGATTCTCTGACTGGTAGACATGTTCGCGAAGAAATTGTGTTCTTTTCTTTCCTTTTTCTTTTTGCCTACAAACCGGAAACGATGACGATGGAGCAGTCGAACACGCGTATGAACGGACGTTCCCGTGTAGACGAAAAGCGTGCTTCGCGCCTGCGAGTGTCCTCGAGGACGGCGCATATTCCAAATGGCACTTCGCGGCAACTGTCATCCCCTGCCGTTTAGGTCATGAGAGAAAGTCCAACGCGGACGTGCGTCAGCGGCGACTGAACTATTTCGCGCGATGCACGCCGGCCACCTGCGACGACATCGCGAATAAATTCGGGATGATTGATTCTCGAACGACGACGTGCCGAAGACGCTTTCTCGAGCCGCCGAGCCTTTTCCTGCACGGAAAAAAGGATATGGAAACAACAACAAATATGGACAACTAAACATAATTTGCTGTGTTAGCCATTTTTCCTTTGCTGCAGGAACCAATTTTCTTGTTAAGATAACAAGAAAATCTGCTCCTGCAACAAAAAAAGTAGCTAAAGTAGTAAATTATTTTTAGTTATCCATCTGGCAAATTTGCTGCGTTAGCCACTTGTCTTGCTGTACGAGCAGATTTTCTTGTTATCATAGCAAGAAAATAGATTCCTGCAGAAAGAATTCCTGTGTGTAGCTAACACAGCGAATTATGTTTAACTGTCCATATATAGCAAATTAGTTTGCTGCTGCAGCAAATCCTTTTTTTCTGTGTAGAAATCGGTCTTCGACAACTCTGGCGCGCGTTGTTCAATCGACGCGAATCGCAAAGGCGTCGTCATGGATACAGCATAAGTCGCGATTTTACACGAGAGAGGAAAGAATAGTCCTGTGTTGGCCTTGAGTCGCGCCACATGTGTCTCACCACAGTCGAATCGTTATTCGAGACTCGTCCGGTACACAAGCACGTATTAAGAACCTCACTTTAATCCCGACATGTGACATTCGTGCGTTCTCGAAATATCTTCCCACTTTGCATAATACGATCCTGCTTCACACGTTCGCACAGCTTCTTTTCATTTTGTCGATGCGTGCCAATGCATCGATTTACAGTGTGCAACGTTTACACCAGACCGTATTAACGACAGATGTCTGAATCCCCGAATCTTGGAACGTGGAGCGCATCTGGTATTATAATGATTAATTAACCCTGATAGAAACGTCGAGAGCCAAGCGTATTGATGTAAATTTTATTCTAATTTATTCTCAAGAACTGCTTCAAATTATGCATGAAAACCACATTAAAAGTAGAACAAAAAGGTATATAACGATTAAATTTACGATAAGTGATTTAATAAATTTTAAATCAATTTAATGATAACATATATTCAATATGTGTGAATAATGTTAATATAACATATATTATATATATATATATATATATATATATATATATATATATATATGTTACCATTAAAGTTAAAAGTTAATAAAAAATATGAAATTCGTTTGTACGGAAAGAATTTATTCCTCGCAATAATAAAATATATTTAAAATAGATAGGGGAGATTGGATCTCTTACAGTTGTGTGCAAGTAGAAATCAAACCGAACACAAAATTCCCTTACCTGCTATTTTGCAAACAACTACGTAACTACGATTTTGATAGATAGTTAAAGAAGACTGATGAATAATCACATGCGATATAGTAAAGGAGCTGTGATGACGACGTCTGTCGCTATGTGCTTGTACGAGTATAATATATCAAGTCAAACTGAAACGAAACAGTTCTCTACCATTTTACCAATAACCACTTAAATTTTTAATTAATGTACTTATACACCAATCTTCTTTAACCACTTAAATTTTTAATTAATGTACTTATACACCAATCTTCTTTAATTAATAACTAAAAACTTACGTGACTATTCGTAAAGTGGTAGAGGATTTTTTTGTTAAGTTTATGACTTAATGTATAATATAAACTCTTGACGTTGCCATCACAGCTCATTCACTGTATCTCACATGCGTGATCATTCACCAAATTTCTTTGATTAATACTTTCAAGTTTCATATAATTGTTTGCAAAATGATAGAGGAATTTTGTGTTCAATTTGATGATCTCTACCTGTACATAAATTGTCATGAACTATATGTTATGAATTATCAAATACTCTTTATAGAAGTCACACGAATTAGTTGTCACAAAGCTTATATCTCACTTAATAGATAGTGAAGCATATTCTTCTCTATGGTGCAAATTAATTCTATCATTTTAATCAGGTGTGACAAAATGGCTCATGGCAAAAGTATCGCATATGGTATTTTTCAAACTGTACGCAATGAATAAACTTTTTCTTGTGTCTGTTTTTTTACTCCACCGTTTTTGGAATTACTGGCCGCACAATTTTGGTTAGTTGTGAGAAATATTATAAATTCATCTAATTTTTCCTGTATTTCGTTAACCGTTATTGCAACATAATTTGTAAAAGTAATTTCTTTTAATCAAAATGATCATTCGGGGATAATTATTCCGTATAAAGGAATAAAGGACCCAGCTCTAATCACTTTGATTTTGAGATATGTTGTGAAGGACATCATCCTGAGTAACCCTCGAATGGTTTTATTCGGCGCTCATTGTTTGTTAAAAAATTATTGAAAAAACAGTTTGGTAATTATTTTTCATTCTTTAATCAGTGTGACAACCAGACACGGTCTCTTTTACACGCATGCGGCTCGCGTTACGTATCGTGTCTTGTCGTATCACATCGCACATTTAAAGATACAGATCGTAATAGAGATTCATCGGCGAATCGCGTGTAACGGCTGGAATTTCGGTTTCAGTTACGGCGCGTTACAGCAAGTAGAAGTTCGAACGCAGTCACGATTTCTCACGACACTCGATCCGTCCCGACCGGTATTTTCGCATTCCGGAAGCGAGCACTTTTCGTTGCTTCCTGCTGTCCATAAGCACCATAAGACCGAAGGAAAGTCATTGAACGAGGATAGAGCTACTATGTCGAGCAGCAGCTCACCTTGTTACATCCGCTCGCTTCGCGAACAGGGAGTGAAAATATTTGCGTCGTAATAAAATTAGCGGTTCTGCCGCCGTCGTATTCGTAAAAGGCCCTCCACAAAGCAAATATCGTAAAAAACATCTGTTGGGCCGCATGTCGGCCGAAATCAATACACACACCGAGTGTGACCGGCACGTCTGTTTCTATTGAGGCCCGTCGCGCGTGTCCGATGCGTGAATTTTCGGATAATTGGCATAATTACGATAAACGGCCAGTTACGACGAATGACTCGCGATCTGACCCTCGTAATCCGCCGTGATTGTTGAGCCGCGTAAGTGCACGTCCGTCCGATTGCACGATGCTATCGCGACAAGCGCGAGTTACACGGGTTGATGTTACGTTTACGAGTCGTCGTGTAAATATTACGCATTATAGAAAGCGAATAGATAAGAGGCAGATACGGACGTCGACGATGATCGCCGATCTCGATCTCGGAACCACTTTCCATCGCTTCCTGCCGCACGTTTCCGAGACAGCCGTTCAAGCGTCGGCAACCTAGTCCGAAAAGAAAGTGGTCCGTGAGTACGCGCAACGCGATAACCGACCTGACTTTATTCCTCTCTACTCTCTTGTCGAGGAAGAGTCGCGCCGTTCGCTTATTCGACAGAGTGGAGGAAGGCAAAGAATTAATTTTTGCAATCAGTCTACTCCTCCTCCTTTCTCTCCTTCGCTCACTCTCGCTCTCTCTTCTCTCTTTCTCTTGTTGGCTATGTAACACGACGAAACCAGTTGCCCTTTAACTCGACTTCGTCTTCTGCCAGCCGAGTGTAATGTCGACATTTATAACCCTCAATTACCGGCGTGTTAATTAACGCCGCGCGAAAAAGGTTCGCGCGCCGCCGCACGCTCATTTTGCTCGCCCCCGCGAGACGCGGGACAATAAGGCAAATTAGGCATTACCGGGAATTCAGACAATGGCCTAAATTCGTTTTTTCGGGGTCAGGTGAAAGTGATGATCCTTTGTCTCCGCGCGTAAGCTGATTCTTACTCATCATATTCCGGGATGTGTCTGTATACAGTGTCCGATAATTTGAACACAAAAGCCCTCTACCATTTTGCGACGGAGACGTAAAATTTAGAGTTGTTCGTTAAAAGGACCGATGAATGATCGTTTGTTATGCGCAATGATGGCGACGCCTGCTGTCGTGTATTTGCAGATTAGATCAAATTGAATAAAAAAGTTCTCTATCATCTTATAAATAACATATACATTTTCTAATTATTAATTAAAGAGGCAAGAGATTGTGCACGCGATCGTCCGCCAATCTTCTTTAATGATTAACTAAAAAGTTTATGTATTATTTACCAAATGACTTTTTTCTTCAGTTTGATCAAATCTACACACGATGACAAGCGTCGCCATATAACTTATAGCGCGATCACTCAACAATATTTTTTAATTAACAACTCAATTTTATGTGGTTGTCTGCAAAATTATAAAGAAATTTTTGTTCAGTTTTACCTACACTGCGGTTCCATAGCGAATTGTCGGAAATTTTATATATACATATCAGCCAAAGTTGAATAACATATGTTTTTTTAAATTAAGTTTGAAATCAATTATAAAATCAACTTAAATAAAAGGAAGAAAGTGACAAGAGCATTTAATCAACTTAAGTTAAAAGTTATATTAACAAACTAAATTTGAAAGTAAAGTTAAAAATGAATTAACTTATAAAAATAGAAAGTTAACTATGCAAAGCAATGTATATGTTTTTTGCATAGTTAACTTTTTAATTGCAGATTTAATTTATATGAAATAATGGAAAGATAGTTTTTGATAAGGAAACATCGTTTAGATTTTGTGTTCAGGATTTCATACAAAAAAAGAACACTAGCGCTCAGAGAGACGGAAAAGAATTCTGTTGGGACTATTTATATTTTTCTTGTTTTTGAATAAGAAAAATTAATTTTTTATTAAATTGTTTTTAATGATTCTTTTCTTATTTTACATTATAAGCGGCCCGCAATAATTTAAATATATTGATGAATTATTTTAACTTCTATAAAAAAACAATTAATAAATTAGTTAAAAAGTTAACATCTTTTAAAATAACTAGTTTAAATTAAAAGTTAATAAAAATTAACTAATTTAAGTTAAAAGTTATTTTAAATTGGTTTTCTCATACTGTTAGTAACTTTTTAAGTTAATTTTTAACTGATTAACTAGTTATTTTCTTTTTTTAACCAGTTAATCCCGATCTTAGTTTCCCTTTGAAGATGCCGGAATTGTTTCTATATTTTGACTTTCAGTTACATGTAAATCACAACATTTAATTTGTCGCCTAGCGATTAAGCAATTATACCAAGTAAACTGGATTTAGTCGCGCTGACTGAGAACGTGAGCGATGACCTGAATTCTATTGTTTGGCTGACTTCTAGGTGAAAGTGTTTTTTTTTTTTTTCTTAAACCAGTTATGTTCCAGATTTGTGGATCTCAACGACGCTAATGCGTTTCCTTTAATTTTGGATTTTAAAGATTCCTAAAAAAATATGCTTAATATTCCAATAGAAAGGTCAATAGAATGATAATACATGTGTGTAACAACGAGAAAGTAAATAGGATTCTGCTACCTTTCAGACATTACAAATTGATTATTACTAAGTATTACAATAGTAAGGTGTTCGCATAGTATGTTCGAATGGTGCGGTTTTGCAATTACTTCATGACCGCGTGAGTGACTTTCGATTAGAAACATTCAGTAACAGCGTAATGGATCCTTCCTCTTTCTTTGTCCCGTATATAGTATTATGCGAATTTCGATTCTCGCGCTATCGAGAGTAATCCATGAAAACGTTGAAGGTCGAATATATTACTCCGCCAGGAATCATTGTCCTTATTGGAACAATGAAACACGTTTTTTTCTTTCTTTCTTTTTTATGATGCCGTGCGACTCCGCTGCTTTTATTACTCCCACAGATTTCACCAGCCGCCTTGCTGTATTCTCTTTGACTTACCGGCTGTAATCCCACCGTGTAAAATGGGATTGATCATTTTAGGGAAGGCATATCGGTCGTAGGTAGCAAAAATTTTCAGGTGCGAGAATGCGTAACGGAATAAACGTCACGAACGCTTTTACATTATCGAATGTTTTTCTTATGCCGTTAAGAAATAATACGCAAAGAATAGAAACTACTTAGATCTCAAGATAATATTAAAGCTTATGGAAAGCGAAGCGGGAGACGAAGAAAGGGGAATAGTGTATAATGAGAAATATTGCGGACTCATTATACTCGCATTTCGCGACTTCGATCGTTAGCGTGTTCAGGTCGCCAGTGCTTTTTCTCTCCGGTTCCCCTCACCGACGTGATTCCAACGTGAAATTGCGTGAAATGCGTCTAGCCGCGAAACGCTACTACATTCGAGGCTTTTGGCACGAGTTCCTCGGCGTTAATCCGACGCGACTTAACTTTCCTTCCGGGATCGCCCCCGTTATACTCACGTGCCGCTTGTACAACACATGTTCAACACTCTCGTTTCTCCGTTAGCGGCGGTGATTTTCAGTTCCAAGCATGCGTGAACCCACTGCGAAGGTTAGTTTCGATTTTTCATTCTCGCATGGTAAAAATTATATAACCACGCAGAAATTTCCTCATCGCGCTATGCACGAGTGAGCAAAACGCTTCTCCACGCACAGAAAAACATCATTCTGCTGTTCAGAAGAGCGATCATTCAGTTTACTTTCCTTCTTTTAAACAATCTTATCTTCGACATAGAATATTTCCACGATAATAGTCTTAAAACATACTCATTCTAAAATTTTAGAAAGATTTATTCTACAGCTCATCTGTCATATCGCGCGTGATCATTCACCAATCTTCTTTAATTAATATCTCTACTATTATTGCGAATCATAAAACTATATAGGATTTTTATGTTCACTTCAAACCGTTCCCATAAAAATTACGGGAAAGAGTTTGAGACATCCTGTATATGAAACAATGATTGTTAATTTGAAAGTATATTAGTTTTAAGTAAATTATGAATTGATTTTCTTTCTGTGTGTGTTTGTATAGTCAGTAACAGACCGATTTAGAAACACAATGAAGTTGGAAGCTCATCAAACTATCAAAATGGAGGTTATTATCCACGAATCTATGTAGTAATAATATAATTAATAATATAGCTAATAATAATAAGTACAATTGCTGTGCAAGCCTATGTAACGACTCTCAATTTTGACAGTTTGGTAAGATCTTAACTTCACTGTGCCTAAACTGTTTTGCAACTAAGTCTATTCAAAGAAGAATCTATTTCTCTCTTACAAGAATATTATTCTTCTTTTAAGTAATAATTATTTTTTATAAAATAATTTCTTTTAAAGAATATTTTCTTCATAGCAATCTTAAAATATACTCATTATAAATTTTATAAAAGCTTATTGTTAAATGTACTCAGAAGAAAAGTTATTTTGATAAGAATATAAATCTTTATATCGGAGAAAAAATTGGTTCGATTCAATGTAATAAGCAAATCGAATTTTTGTTTTAATCTAATATACTCAATCGAAAAGTCAAACTTTAAAATGTGTTCTGAATAAATTTTATGTTTATAATAAAGTTATGATAGTTATGATTTGCAAAAGTATAAACGTATGAAATAAGTGACTTAAAAGAAGTAACATTTACTTTAATGCGGTATATATTTTTCTATGTATACGTCCGCCCACACAATCAAGCAACTCTCATATTTATAAATATAACAAAGTCACAATGATATTCGTTGTATTGTGCAGTTTTACTGCAGTAAACGATTTTTGTATAATTTGTTCGCAAAAATGAATCTACTATCTCATAATAGATTATCATTGATAATCTATTATCAATGAAATTTGATAGTATGGAATATAATCGCGTCGTTTTTTGACACACGCAATTGAGTTGAGTCGCAAGCGTTACTAATTTTCAATTCATTCATTTACCAGGCGACGGTGTTCTCTGTTTCAGCGATGTGACGCAACCAGTCGGGAATATTTTTATGCAAAATGACTCGCGCCCTTGTCCTTCTCTGCATGGTCATCATTCTACCTCTCGTACGATGCCACAAGGTAAGATCGCAGTCAGGTATCACCCAAGGACGCATTATTACACCATGCAATTACTTCTTCAAGACAAAGAATACGCGCGCGTATACACGGGAAAAGATAATCCCGAATTAAAATGGCGAGTGATTTCAGAACGCGACGGCGATTCTAATTGTTAATCGCGTCGAAGTAAATTCACGGTATGCGAGCAGTGTCTTTCGTTTTACATACTATATATATGTGTATCTTTTTTTATTGTACTGTATATTTTAATTATTCTCCACGTCTGTGTACCGCTTCTGCAAAGCCTAATTTTTTACTATGTTGTAAAGAGGATACAGAACGTTAAAAATTAAAATTTGAGACGTAATTTTATTTATAAATAATGTTTGTACGCGAATTTTTCAAATTTTCTTCCAATCTATTTTTATGTAAATTAATAGCAAAGTTCTAGATTTTATAATAAATTTTTATTTTCAACTAAAATGAATATTTTAAATATTAGATAAATAAATAAGAATATTAAAAGATAGATAAATAAATAAGAAGCAAATAAATTTATAATGTATAAAGTATATCATATTGAAATATGGAACACAAATTACAGAATTATTGACAGTTTTGTTTTGAAACTATAACGGTAGAAAGTTTATCATTTATACCAGTCATTTATAACAGTCGAAATATATATATTTAGGCACTAATATATATTTTTCTATTACCTGTGCAACTTTATTAGATCTACTAATGAAGAATCTATAAATGAAGCATTAATAAGAAAAAATAAATTGTATAAAAAAGTAATATTTCGTATTTGTAATATTATATATACACACATGTACATACGCGCCGCACACACGCAAGCACGCGCGCACACATACACACATACACAAACACAATTCGTTATGAAATTGTTACATACAGATAAAATTCATCGAAATAAACACAAAATTCTTCTACCATTTTACAAATAACCACATAAAATTTTGAATTATTAATTAAAAAAGATTAGTATATGATTATCTGTAATAATATGTACTAATTTTGTTTAATTAATAACTGAAAATTTTATAAGTATATTTGCAAAATGGTACAGGGACTTGTGTTTAGTTCGATGAATTCTATTTATATTCTAGCTGTATAATGAATTATCGGACATCCAGTATATATTTATCTCAACTTTGTTTTAAATTAACATTTATTGTTTAGATAATGAAATAAATATATAGAAACGCAATTTTATCCGATAAATAGAAAATTTACGAGTAGCTCTTGATACGTCACTGAACATACGACTAAACGTTACAGCCATCTGAAAAACTGAGAGTTTTTGTTTTGAACCACATTTTAAAAAGTCGCTTTTCCTTACTGTTTACTAAACGTCATCTAATGAATTTGACGACAAACTTGACGATATAGATTATGCAGTACGTAATCACGAAGCATTTGATTTCCTAATAACAGATTTAACCTTTAGAAAACTAGATGTACGTTTGTGCAGACATATAGAAAGAAAAATTATCGCTGACACATATGTGACGCTAATAGCGAACATATTAAGTAGATTATTTCATCAACAGAGAAACAGAGATCAGCAGAGCTTCTTTTTTAATTTTTAAAGTCACTTTTGTGGCTTTGAAAAATCTTAAAATTCTGAGTCATATGTATGTTACTTATATAGAAAAATTTTTTAAGAAAAAAAACACTTTTTTAATGAAAAATGCTGGCAGCCTAAAGATTAATAGTGCCGACCGTCAGTACCTGTCGATATCAGCTTCATAAAAAAGCGCCGCGGGAAAAGAGGAATCACACGATTAATGGCACGTTACGATTCAACACGTGTCGGCTGAACGCGTCATCTCGTCATAGATAATCATCGCAAGCGTGGTCAACGGCCGACTCTTCTCTAACTTATGTAAGAACTTCGCGCACGAAATTGTAATAAAATCATTGAACCATTCCGATGTTGTTTAGCCGCGTTGTCTTGCTTTCGATTTTTCTGTTCTTTTTTCCTGGATGAGATTCAGCGAAAATAATAAGAGTGTGTGATTTTTCTAACAATAACCGACGCAGCGAAATTAGCAAGCAGAAAAGCGAAATGGAAAAACGGAAGATCAAGATGAACGGTTCATCAACATGTTCGCGCCAGGTAGAACAAAAAATCGTGATGATGATGACAAGACGACTATAAAAACTCATTTTTCTGTCATAACTCGATCATTTTCTCGTCATTTTGACGTTATTGTGATGATTTTCTGTTTTATCCGGGAGCATCAAACATATGTGACGCATCGATCTCACATGATAGGTTCATCTTTACTCAAAATTTACAATTTTATTTAACATAAAAATTAAGAAAGAAACTCTGCTGATCTCTGTTTCTCTGTTGATGAAATGATCTACTTAACACGTTCGCGTCACATAAGTGTGTCAGCAATAATTTTTTTATCTACATAAACGTAAACTGCATCTTACGCTATAAAGAAAATACAATGTGATCTCTCTCTCTCTCTCTCTCTCTCTCTCTCTCTCTCTCTCTGTTGAAAGAGTTCCTAAAATAAACCGTGAATTAAATGTAGAGAGCGTGTTAAGGAGATTAGAAAGGCAAGCCTTGAATTTGTGAAAAATCCGTAAAATTCGATTCGTTAATACATGTATAGGAATTAATTTAATACAAAATCTTTTTATAGACTATTTATATACTATGCATTAACCATAAAAAAATATTTACAATGTTAAGAAATATATTAACATATAAGGATATGCAGCGTAATTCATCCCGTAGTGTAAATCGCACGGAGTTGCAGTTTTGTAGAAATTGAAATTGATCAAATTGATATTGTAAATCGAGACAAACGACATTATGTTTCGGAAGCTAGATACTTCGTACTATAAATTAAACTAAAACAAAAGATATTCGGTAAACATTAACAAAATGGCGACAAAAATCAATTCACATTTTTTGCTATATCCTGAACTTATCTTTTCGAATTTTTCATTTTAGTAAACTGAAAAATATGTCTAAAGAACTGCTCTATCCAAGAATGCAAAAAACTTAATCGATTTTTTTTAATTTTAAACTTTTCCAGTTCTCTTAAAGTGAGACGTAAACAGTGAAATTATTAGTCTTTAGCATTATTTTCCAATTAATTAGTATTTTATTAAAACAATTGTTTGAAATGATGAAAAAAATAATTTTTCAACTATATAAGTGAGATGAAATTTGTAAATATCATAATACGCGCGCAATTATTTTTTATTTAAAAAATTATCAAATATTTTAAAAGTAACAAAATAAAAGTTGTAAGATACTAATTGATGTCAATACTAATTGTGAGAAAATAAATATAAATGTACTCGTTATTGTATTTAATAAATGATCAGTGTCATTTAATTTAAATTAGAAATATATAAATATTATGTTGAAGCAAATAATAAATATAGAAATAAATAACAACAAATATAGAAATATAAAAATGACATATATATAAATATAGAAATAACGAGATTATTTCAAATTCGATTAACTTGAGACTAACTTATTACGTACGCGATATTGCCATGTTTCCACTCATCATATTATTTGTTTCATGAATATTCTCATCGAAGAATCTAAATTTCTTTTCAATCTGTCTATAAATTTATATGATACTTCACTAAAATATACATAAATGTTCAGTTTATTATTATAGTAATATTTTAAACATCTGTCTTGTACACAAATATGTCAAATTGTCATGTTATAGAAGTTCTACATATATATGTGCTTGCACAATATAAATTTATAATTAAATATTTCAGAAACAATACAGTAAAAATTATTGAAATTTCTGATACGCATCGTTAGTTTAATTGACATTTTTATCATATTATAGATTTACACACACGTACATACAAACACGCATACATATACATATGTATATATACACATGCATATATACATATATATATATATATATATATATATATATATATATATATATATATATATATATATATAATGATAAATCTGTTATATATATTAAGTAGATATTATAATAACATAACTATTGCAATAATATTAGTAAATATAAAAAATAAATAAGTTTATATCTTTTATTCGATCAAATGCTAGAATTTCTTTAAGATCAGCGGTTTTCAAAAGATCGATGTGAAATTCGACCAAGCTATACGAGATATCGATCTATCGCGACAATTGTGTTGAATCATCACAGATAGATATCGCGAAGAAGTCGATAGGCCGTCGACTTACGTAAATCTCTAGTTTCGCCTTAGGAAACGATACAAAAATAATCGCTTTCAGACGAGAAACGTGGTCGCGACTTCCGGCAGTCTTTCCACATGATTTGCATGCTTTTGAGACGTACTCGTTGCGCGAGGGAGAAAAAGATAGACAAACAGAGAGGGAGAGAAAGATCGAAAGCGAAACCGGAATACTCTCCTCGAAGAGCGATTTACTTCTCACGGAGGAGAGACGGTATTTCTATCGATCGACAGTTGTGCTCACAGACGCGTGAAATACGTTACGATTAAAACGATCGCGACTTGCGGTTACGGTTAACGAGTATTACGGAATTCATTGTCGATACTCCTGCTGTTGCGAGAGGAATTAAATATACACGGAAAAAATATTATGGTAAATATGGCAAAATCTTTTACAGCGAAATTTGTAATCTTGTATCATAAAGAATTATTATATATTCTTCTACGAATTATTATATATCGAATTATTATATATTTTTGTTTAAAAAAATTTGTTTAAATTTGTTTAAAAAAATATTATATAGTTTTAATTTTTATAACCAAATTATTCCAAATTGAATATTTTTCTTATATCGTATATTCGGTAGATATATATTTTTATATCATATTATATCATATTATATATCATTATATCATATATTATCATATCATATATTCGATATATCGTATAAAGGACCTAGACAGCGCAAGATCCAGGGGATGTCTTGGGAACATTCTTAGGACGTAGGGACATTCTCAGAACGTTTTTAGAGAGGATGTTCTATGGAGATATGTGCTATTTAGAGAAAATGTTAAAAATAGGCCATTTTTGTCCCACCTAACGGTACCTTAACTAATCATTAAAAACTGTTTCTAGATCTCCAAGAAACAGAAAATAACAATTATTTGTCCACATCAAATCCGAGAAAAGTTATGAAAATTGGAATTTATTATTGATTGCTGAAACAGTCATAGAAGTGTTTTTTAAGCTTTGTACTTTTGATGTATCTGTAAAATAAAATTAATTACATAATTATATTTTAAGAGATGAATAGTAAATATAGAAAAGTTTTTTCTTTTATTATACAATATTTATATGTTGTAAAGAAATACAGACGGATACGGAAGAGGAGAAAAACCTACTATTTACATTTTTTTTTAATGTGTACTTAACAAACTCTTTGTTTGAGATATTTAAAAAGGAAAAAGAAAAGAAGGAAAATATCAAGGAGAGAGAGTCAGGGGAGTTATTAACATGTATGTATACTTGTATCACTTTCTCTTGGCTCTGCGACGCCAAAATTCTATCTTCTTAATGAACATATTTTGCACACAATATATTAATACATTAAACATGCATACATACGCATTCGTTATCTTAAAGACATGCCAGAGGTACAAAGTTTAAAAAACATTTCATATAACTATTTCAATAATAAATAATAAATTCTGACTTTCATTTTCCCTGCATCTAAAATAGTTATTTTCTGTTCCTAGAAACCTAGAAGATTCCAGAAACAGTTTTCAATAATTAGTTAAAATTTCGTTAGTAGGCCAAAAATAGTCTACTTTAAACACATTCTCCTTTACTGTGATCCTTTATTAGTGATTTATACTACAATTTCTGTACAGTCCAGTTTTATAAAAAAAACATTGTGGAAAGAAATATAATTTTAACGTAATTTTTATTGTAATATTTTCTTCATATACGTTACCACCCTTATAGGATCGGAAATGTTTATATCTTGTCTTTGACTTGTTTGTGGTTAATTCAGTAACGTTTAATAATATTATGATGTTACAAAGATTAATTTGACTATTACGAACGATTATCCCTCCCTTCCTCTCTTCTCTCTCTCCCCTCAAAAAAATGATCACTTATATCGTAAATCGATCAAATCTCGGTCGGATAATCCACCGTAATGAGCGAAAGTGATCGACCTTAGCAGTCCTAGGTACTTGAATCGTTTCAAGCCGCGACTCGATTTCTGTGACGCCACGCGCGGTAAACGTCGTTAAATGGTAGAAGCAGACCTTGAAACGCGATTGGAAAACTGAATATACGTGCATACCCGTTGATTACGGACTGCTACAAAACTGGACGAGCCGCGATTCCAAGAACACTTGAAAAATCACGGTCTTTCTTTTTCTCATATTTTACAAAGCCCATCGACTAATAGCAGTGTCTGCCGGGCCGCGTAAGAATCTTGTTAAGTATCACGGAAATGTGTACATCGACGCACACAAGCACAACATATAATTTAATCTACTCGGTAATTATTATAATTAAATGAAGTAATGAATTATGTTTTACTCTTAAGGATGCATTATTCATATTTAAAAAATAATAAAGAAAGTCTTAAAAATTACAGATTAATCTACATTACATCTAAAAGTGACACAAACAATGTGACATTGTTTTAGAACCGATCAAAAGTTAAACCACTTTGAAGTGTAAATTCAGCAAACATGATAACGCCATATAACGAATGAAATTACATAAACGATAATTATATGAGTTTTGTACGTAAGAATAATAAGTTACATAATATATAATTTATATAATATATAATTTATTTATAATAATAAGTTACATAATATATAATTTAATAATCTATTGTTTTTGTAAGTTATTGCAACTAAAACTGAATGATTAGAAGAACTATATAGAAGATTAAAGAAATTATATAGTTCTCATAATCATTCAGCTTTAGTTGCAATAACTACAAAATCTTTTATTAAACTATATATATATATATATATATATATATATATATATATACATATAAGATAAGATAAAATCAATATATAATATTCTATATACAAAACTTGTATAATTGTTCCCAATACAGTTACCACCATCATGTACTTTTGTGTGAGTGTGCTACTTGGGAGTATTTTTATCCGTGCTATTATGGAAATATATGAAATTACTATCTTGAGGAAAAGAAAAAATAATTAAAGATTAATGAAATTTTAATCTTTATATTAAATATCCAAAATGATGCATTGTGATTCATTGTGCCAAAATGTTTCATTGTGATTCAGAGATAACAGATTGAAAGTCAGAAATAATATATAATGAAGTAAAAAGATTATAAAATGTAAAGTTAAAATAAAAATATATTGTTATTTATCGTATAAAATCAGTACCTTTTCATACAGAAAATAGAAATATTAATGTATTTCTGTAATTTCCAGAGACTTTCTGCAAGGACCAAAGAGGTCCTTAATCGATTATTTTGGTCATAATTGCGAAACGCGACATTTTAATCTCGATATTCATAGGCAAATAATATCAAGTGTACAATCGCCCTATCATGACGTAATGCTTTACGCGACATGAAACTTGACGTCTCGTCGCCGCTGGCGCTACCATTCCTGATTACGTTCTATTGTACATTCATTTTGTCTTGCTATTCCCACGGTACTGGCGTGGCGGAGACAACATCTCGAAGGCAGCGTTGCTATGGCCGGCAAAAGGCGAGATCGAAATAGTCAGTCGAAAGCTGTCAAGATAAGCGAGTGAAAAAAAGCGTACGAAATGATATAATGAGCAGTAACGATGAAATTACGAATCCCGGAAGATTCGGTTTAAATTCACTTGCACAAGAAGTCTCGCTCAAATATCTCTTTACGTTCTACTTGTTCTTCACTTCCTCGTGTGAATAATTAACACGCTGAGCCATGCACGACAAATAGATGCTCATTGTCGACTCTAGTTATGAAATCTCCCAACGTGATAATAATGTTTCTGGCGGCGAATTAATGAAGTCTTTTCGTGCGCCATTGTGTTTCACGGCGGGATATTTGCGGGGCTCACTCCGCTCAGAAGCGAGATAGAATGTCCAACGATTTCTTCTTCGTTGACGAATTCGTTATAGCCGCGCTGCTCGCACCGCGGATTTACCCGCGAAATGTTCGATGCGAAAGGCCGACGTGAGATTACGATGCGATTACGATCGCGATCACGATCCCGATTATATAAGGATATTGCGACATCGGTCTGCTCATTTAAACCCATTCGTGTTTCAGATCCACGAGCACATGACAAGGGAAGAGATGCTATCGGTGTTTTACACGGGACACGAGTCCGGTAATAACAGCAAAAAAGTAACTTGCGGTGAGCGTACACGCGCGCGCGTTGATACCTTTTCCGTTCCTACTAACGTCGGGATACATGCGACGTAAACAATCACGAGAATTTCGGCACACCTCGACCGACGATAATGAATGAGACGAGCGGGGCGATGAGATCCTTGCACTAAAGCTTCTACATCTACGATGTACTCTTTGCCTCCTGTTTCTTATTCTCTGTCTTTTTTAAGCCTGATCTACAATGTGTTCTTTGCTTCCTGTTTCTTATTTTCTGTCTTTTTTTAGTTTAAGGTTTAAGGCTTAAGTCAGAAAAAGATCAAGAAAAAGTAATAGGAAGTAACACATTATAGATCATTATAAGTTTTAATTTAAGGCTTAAGATGTAAGTCAGAAAGAGATAAAGAAAAAGATACAGGAAGCAAATAACACATTGTGGATCAAGCTTAAGGATAATCAATCGCCTTGTTATCTTAACGCAACGACATTCCACGGTTTTAGGCAAAGTCACACTGAGGAAAAAATATGTGTTGTTTGCAACTACAGCCGCGTAGTGAAAAAATTATTATCAGGAGAACCATTTTCTCGTAACAGAGTTACAAGTACTTAATTATGTTCTTAATTAATTATAGATATTAATCGACGATTAATATGATCAATTTAATTCGATTGAGTGCGATTAGTATAATTCAATTGAGAACCATTTAATTGACAATTGATTTCAATGAATTCTATCATTAGATTGACGCTTAATATAAACAAAAGGGATTAAAGGTCACTCACGCAGAGAATTTTTCTCAAAAATATAAATATTCATTAATCGCAGAAAAATATCACAGTGGTTTTGGCCGGCTATACACACAAAAAATATAATTCTGCTATAAAAAGCGATTAAAGACCAAAGAACAAAAGTTCAAAGACCAAAGAATAAAACTACGAGAAAATAATTTTTTTCGGAAAGTATGGAAGAGTATGAGAAAAGAATTATGCCGTATCTAAAAAAATTAAATTACATTTTTCATGTACGTAATGCATTGCTTTAATATTATACGGAGAAAGACATTTAATTGTATTATCATATTGAACGAATCAGACGTTTTTATTAAAGAAAATAGAATCTCTTTAGCTCCTCGAATTTAATTCATAAGAAACAAAAATTTCGTTTCTTTCAATCAAAAATCTATTTAATCGATTTATTCGTGCAATTATTTATTTTGCAAATTATAACAAGCAATGTAACGTGACAGACAAGTTACGACTGCCTATCATTGTCCAGAAACACAACGAATATTCCGTTTGTCTGCTATTCTCATCGGCATAGATAATAAATTTATATATCATTAGATAACAAAATATGGAGTAGAGCGGGATAAGATGCTACACTTTTTAGATTTTCGGAGTTACAACTTTTTAAAAAATTTATTGCTGTGATTCACCATACAAATATGATAGAGATAACATTCCTCCGCGTATTTATGCCCGTAATGATTCTGTAAATGGTATATTTCAATAACTAATAACTAATAACTGATTTTGTAATAACTAAAAGTTGCAAAGTGATTATTTTGCCTTAATATCAGGTCATATCAGCCAAGCATTTAAAGTAAAAAAGCCACGTACAAAATAAATATACATCCTAATTAATAGTTCCCGAATCTCCACATTCCTTATTGCCGACTGTTAATTATGAGCCAATCTCGACCGTTAATATACTCAATTTCAATTTATGAGTGAAATTTGCTTTTATTGTCTGAAACTGTGTCATACACTACTAGAAATTTCAATCTAGCTAATAACACGTCACTTAAGTCCATTCAGTTATGATGGAGAGTATTAACACAAAATTTCAAGACTTGAAAATGTTCCTAAATCAGTTTTTTCTATTTCTTAAACAGAAACATTTCTGTCCAGAAAAATTTCTTAATTGTAATATTACTTCGATTTTAGTGATATTTTCAAAGAACAATATCTATGCTTTAAAAGGGATATTTGCGATTTCGTTTTCACTGTTCTTCTTGCGATAAATAAACAAAAGACTTGGCGAACATAACTTTTGGATTAAGAATAGACTCGGACTCTCCTACTTGATAAAACTATTCGCTTATTGCTGTCATAAATTTTGACTTCAGAATGAGTATATCCCAGTCGCGCAATACAAATCAATTATAAATTATACTATTAGTATGTTGCATTATTCAAGAAAAATTTTCTGCGTGTACATGACTCGTTCAGTACTTATTCAAAAGAAACTATACACGTGCGTATGTATAAATTATCGTTTTATTTCTTTTCTGTTATTCTCTATCAAACTTCCTGCGGCTGTCTACATGTTTCTCAAACTTTCAGTTAACGCGTCCGTGAAAAAGAAAGAGGAAGGCTCGCGAACAGGCCGTTAAACTTAAATCCGCCGTCATGAATCATACGCGATGAATATTCATCAATGCCATCATTCTTGTGTCGTTCTGACCTTAGAAAGGGTCGCCGTTATTCATCGTCGATTTCTGATGTAGTATAAACGCGGTTCTTCTTATTTTTTTTCTAGCAGCCAACTGGCATGTTAAATATAAAAAATTGACCGAAAGAAATCGTCGATCCTAAAATATCAATCATAATTTTCGTACGTTAATACACTAATATACGATACGCAAGACTGACGTGTATATTTAAAGCGCCATATCATCGAAATAAGAGACTTCCAGTGAATTTTTTGCGAGGTACACAAAGCTAATCTTTAGCTATTGAATGCATGCACATAAAGAAATATATATTACTTTCAATACTGAAAGAAAAGATCAGGTAAAACAAATGAAGTTTCTGGATTGACTAAATTTGGTTACACCAACTGCAATAGAGTCAAATTAAATAAATTGGTAAATGTTTACATTTATATATACGAATCACAAATCAAATATATTATATTTGATTATATGTACTGAAGAATGAAGAGACATAAACACTTTAAACTTAAATACGCGTTCATGTTATTTTAATGTTATGTCAATTAATTTCTAATTGAACCAAAAAAGTTTTTAGATATTTTCATTTAGAAATATATTTTGAACTATTTCACTAAATTTCATAAGAATCAGAACGTGTATTCCTTTTCGGAATTATATTCAAATAATATTTTTTGTGTATATGTATTTTTTAATGTAACTGTGAGATATAAATACGTAACAATATCTCTTACTTAGTACCATTACGACGGATAATCACCCAGATTAACGTTGTAAACGCGTTTTTAATCCGAAACCATAGTGCCGCCGTACGAAGTCGTGCCTGTTTTGCACACGATGCACAAGAGGAGCATAGACGCGAAACCGCAGATTCACCTAAAGGCCTTCGGCAAGGATATCAACCTTTCCTTGAAGCCTACGGAAGGTTTGTTAACAGCTAACAGCCTGCCAATGTGGACCGTCACCAGAAACGCGTCGCAACCTGACGGCCTTCATTACGAAAGGGTGAAAGATGTAAGTGACCTCTTTCAGTATATTATTGACGAGGATTCGCAGCCTTCTTGAAGCTAGATTTTCTCGCGCCAATAATACTAATTAACAGAGTTATATAAGATGTGGCATTTAAATAAAGACTCCTAAATATATAAAAAATTAAATAAAATAAAAAAATAATGTTTCAGACTAAAGTCGTAAGGTTCCAAGAGAGACGTACGATAGTGTTCAGTTTATGGTTCTCAAATTCTTTCAAAGATTAGTTTAAATTTTTTTAATCGATTCCTAAAGTCGTTCTGCATATAAGTACTGGGATAAAATTATCGAAAATATCTTTCGAGATATTTTATATTTTTTAGTATAAGATGAAATATATATCTCATAAAATATTTATTTTTCTATAATCTTATATTTTGTACGTAGAATGACGGATAAAATCGACTGTTGTAAAAAAACTGACAGACCTTAAGTAAAATTCCGTTGCATTTTGTAGATTTATTTATTGATACACAAGTGTGCGAACTTTAGTATCGTCGATCAATTTTTTTCATTTTACATACAATTACATATAATTACATACAATTTTTCTCGTTTTACATTCATTTTACATACAAAAGTATTAAGATAAGATTATTGGAAAGTGAATATTTTACGAGATATTTCATATCTTGTATTAAAAGATATTAGAATAAAATATTAGAATAAAATATCTTAAGAAGTATGTATAAATTATAGTTTACAGAAAAGAAATAAAACGATAATTTATACATACACACGTATTCACTTTACGACGATTTTATCCCAATGCATTTATACGTAGAACGACTCTAAAAATCGATATGTTAAAAAATATTATGATTCCATTAAAAAATCTAAACTAACCTTGAAAAGATCTTGGCGCATCTACCATAAAGTCAAACCCCAATATCATTATTATATATCCCCCTTGAAACCTAACATTTGTCTGAAATATTTTTTTTAAATTTACTATATTTTTACGTGTATTTACTTATATTTAAGTGTCCAAATTTAAATGCTATACCTTATATGCAGGTTTTAGTAATTATTATATGCACAGTTAGTAATAATTGCCACCTGAAATATTTTCGAAGTAAAAAACAAAGGTGATCTTCAGATCTTTGACGTTACTGTAGGCGAAAAAAAAATTGGTTAAATCTGAATTCAGGATACATTAACTAGGCTGTTTGATAAAAAGTGAACGGGCCATTTATACGGGAATACATATTAACGGGAATTTTAATTAACCAAGCAAATTTGGTTTCATGCCTAATTAAAGTAATCAGACAAGTTTGATTACAATAATAAAATTATATTACAACTTCTTACTAAAAATTTTATTACTTTTTTAATTGAAAATTGTTTCTTAAAGTGTTAATGTGTGATTTTACTTGAAATTAACCATTCAATAGATTCAATATTATATTGTATTTAAATAAATTGTCTTTATTCTGGTGAAATTTGAAACCGGGACCTCCGGATTATAAGTCGTCTGTCTATGCGCTACGCCATACTCAAAAGAATGTTTTGTTGATCCAAGTAGAATTCTAAATATAGTTTATCGCTGTTTTTGTATCTGCTAGAAGATTGTGATAGAATTTACAGCAGCAACATTTTAGCGACATCTGCTGGCATATTTAAGTAAATGTGAGGATTATACATTTGTTTATCTCTCGTTACTAGTCTTTTTTTATAGTCGCTTTTATGTGACTGACCTTAATTTGAATTGGTCACAGAGAGATTTTCTTACTAAACTTCACAAATGGCTCAGATAGAAATTTTGTCCCTGTCATCTATATTGATTAAATCATATGCGATCTCGTAATGTTTGCTAGTCATTTAATCATCTTAACAAACTTCTTTTACACAGATAATTTTCATTATGATTGCAAGAATACTTTTTTGAATGTATTTCTTCAATTAACAGATCTGTTATATATTATATAATCTATATTATAATCAGCGTTGACTATCTGAATATATGATTATAATAAACAGAAATTCCGTTTAGTTCAACTAACAGTCGTTCAACCAAATATGTCACGTTAATACATTTTTTCGCGTGTAGTCATAATAACCACTCACTTGAATATTAATATCACATATGCAGTAATCAAATTCTGACCGGTATTACATCTAAATGCTCTGGTTGCATACTGGAATATCTCGTTATAATAACCAGGAAGTTTGTTTATCTATATTAAAAGCTGCTTAACTAAATATGTCAAATATGCTCCCAGAAGCTAAGAAATCATTACAGCAATATTATGACAACATTATTCAGTAATGTTTATAGATATATTGTTTGAAAACAATAATAAAAACAACGTATTAAAATCGATATATTATTACATAGAACATCATTATAAACTTGGACTCTGAGATTTCAGTAATATTAAAATTACATATAGTCATAATGTTAAAAGCAACAATGCATTTACGTTTTTTGAAATTCTGATATTCACTTTCTCAGCATGTACAAACAATATCTTCTGGAAGAAATAAATTTCCCTATTGCAATGGTCGAAACAAACAAATGTTTCACCATTTCGCTTAAAAATGAAAAAAAACTAGTCAGTCACTATTGTCATCTGAAATATCTTCCGAGTAAGGAACAAGATTGACCTTCAGATTTGCGAAATTACTCTACTTAGAAAAGAAGCATCTTACGGTGGTAATTATTTTTTTTAACACTAGATTTATGAGACAATTTGACCATAAATTTAACGGGTTTCGGATTTCACGAGCAAAATTACAGAAATTATTATTATTATTTTCTAGCAATTTTTTGACTTTTATTAATGGAATGATACGAATATATATCTAAATTATTCATTTACTCCTCAGATTTATAATTTTGAAATTCTCTATGTCGTGTACCTATTTTTCCGGATACTCGTCAAATTGACCGTCAAATTGTCTCGTAAATCTAGTGTTGAAAAAAATAATTACCACCGTAAGATGCTTCTTTTCTAAGTAAAGTAATTTCGCAAATCTGAAGGTCAATCTTGTTCCTTACTTGGAAGATATTTCAGATGACAATAGTGACTGACTCATCCTGTATAACTCGTCAAAAATTTGTAACGAATCGTTCAAGTAACGAAAGTTTTACGCGCCAGAATTGCACCTCTGAGAATTAACCAATCATTTTCTGGGGACGCAATCGTTCCTCTTATTTCCAGGTTGACGTGGATATCGGTGACATCTATCAAGACACGGAGAACATGGCTTCCATTCTGCTGCACCAGGACACGAATGGGAAAGTGCGCCTTGTAAGCGGCCATTCTTTCTTAATGTCCCTTTCGTCACCACCCTATTATTGCGAGTCGTCTTTCGTCAACTGGCACAACTCGCTTAGGACCCGTGTTATAATTATAGCAACATCGCAATTTATCGTGCCGCACGGCGTATGGTAAAACTATACAATACGACTTGCAACAAAATAAGAGCTAATAAAATGTTAACTTTCATATATGTCTTTATTTCGACTTTAATTTACGTAACTACAAATATTCTTCTTTTCATTCATCTTTGGAAATTATTACGAATTAAAATGTAAATGTGAAGAAATTGTTAAAAAAATCTTTCATGGAAAGCGTTTTGTCAATACTTTCCAATGTAAAACACCTTAGGGGTTTGTAACAATATACCCTTTCATACATGTTAAGAACATCTAACAAAATGTGAGTTTATAGACAACTCACTTGTATAAGACCGACAGCATTAAAAATTTGTTTTCCAATATATTTTACAGCGATGCAACAGTATGCTGCATAACTTCTGCATTTTAACACGCTACTCCTGCGTCGTTTCCATATATTTAGTTTTCAAAAAAAGAAAAAAGGCTTTTAAGAACTTTAAGTCTTAAAAAGTATGAAATAATTTTGAGTTAATATTCCTATATACCTAAAATATTTGAACTATATTATAAATTTTGAACTATATTAGAAATTTGCATGGAAATTTGCCTAATTGAGTCAAATAATCTCATACTTTCTTTTTATTATTTATCTCCCTACAGTTATAAAGTTAGTTATCTATTCTGCTTAAAAAATTTAATAAGGATTGATAAAAATATACACAAAAATTGAAAATATTTTTATTTTAAATATTTAATTGAAAATATAACTTTACCTATGTGAACTTATTTCCATTGGAAATTTTAATTTCTCACATTTCAGTTCATATAAGAATGTTATTATAAGTCTTTTGTTTTATACCGCGTAACTGGCTCTTAAAACGATTAAATATTATACTAAATGATTAAATATTTATCCGAATATACATACCTTCCTGTATAATTGTAATATTTTTTATTAAATACACGATTTTCATTGATCATTTATTTTTCTTATATAATTCTATCAACATCTTTTAAACAGGGTATCTAATTTCTTTTTCGTGCCGACTTCTAATATCTGTAAAATAATAAAATAGTTTATAGGTATATAGAAATATTGATTTAAAATTGTTTCATATTTTTTAGGACTTTTAAGGTTTATGAAAACTGTTTTTTTTTAAGTTTTTTGTTTAGGACATTTTAATTATTTACTAAAAGTTTGCTTTTGAAGTTGATCAAAAAAAGATTTTCGTTGAAGTCAGTTAAAGATAAAAGTTTCATTTTATATATCTAAATTTTCTCAGAATTTCAAAAAAGTAATAGATTTACCTAATTTTCAGGTCACTTGGACAAGCCCAGATAATAATATTAATCTATGAACTTTGCACTTGCAATATATTGAATAAGTTACAACAAGTTTCATTTTAGTATCTCTGACAGTTCCCGAGTTATAAGGAAATATACAAACAAACATGTATAGAGAATTGCATATATACTTAGCTATTCCTTAATCATATTCTAATTGAGTTACTAAAAATTTTCGACCTAACGCATTCGTTTCTAGATAGTCAAGGGTCGTGACTGTTTATTATTCGAAGAAGCTGCAATGATGACACGTGTCAAGCAACTGTGACACTTGGACAGATTGATGTTTTGTTTGCGTTTATAATTGCGATTATCCGTTCATGTGTCACGCGTAATCGTGACATTATTAGTGGTAACATAATCATAAAATATGAATAACGATAAAAGCACTATGTTTGCTACCTCACAGCCTCTGAAAAGATACAATTTAAAGATAAAAGGTGACATCATCTGTTTGAGAAATATAATAAATATACTTCTACGTATAACTGGATATTATCTATTGTTTAATTAAATATTAAATATAGATTAACAGGACTAGTTAAGAGGACTCATCGTTGCTGTTTCTTCGAATAATCAACATTCACGACCCTTGACTATCTAGAAACGAATGCGTTAGGTTGAAAGTTTTTAGTAACTCTCGGTTAGAACACATGGCTAGGAAATGGCTAGGCATATATGCAATCCTCTGTACGGAAAAAAAATTTTATTGGATCAAACAAATGTCTGATGAAATATCAACGAAGCAGAAGTGACTAGAATTCTGTTCAAAATAACAAGATTCTAGTTAACTAGAAATCTTATTTGATTCATCGGACATTTTGTTAATCCAAACAAATTTTGTCTCATATACATGTAGAACAAACTGAGAAACTCTTTTTTTGAAATTGGCTAAAAAGAATATGGAGCATGTTTTGTCAACTGATACGCATTGTATAGTTTTACCTGAATATCTTCTCGTGACGAGACAGGGCCATTTACCGAAACGTCCAAATTTACGCTGATGCAATATTTAAATAATTTTTTTGTATTTTACAAAACGGAAATATAACGGAAAAACAAGTTCCTTTGGAACTTGTGGAAAAAAAATATCCAACATATCTAGGCATTTCTAGCCATTTCTTCGGTGAAGTTACTCAAATACCGACGACATAGCATAGTGGTTTTGACATTTCCCCTTTACACTCGCGCAACCGACGTTCTCCTCGCCGGTCGGAATGAAATCTAACGCGACGGTATTGTGTCTACGAATACATAAGCCAATAAACTCGCGCGCATCGATCCTATCTTTCGCCTCTCGCGGTCTGCAATTTTATGAGAAAGAAGGACGCTGTTCCTAATAATTTCATGTTCAAACGAGCGTGACTGAATTTCTCTTACAAAGCTTAATTTTTATGCCATGAGGAAACGGTCTGCACATGGCGCACATTTTAGATTCATTTTTATCATACTTGTCATTTTGACGATATAAGAAATCGTGGTTTTCTGCTTCTGCTCGATCGCGAGCCAAATCTCGCCAAATTTCGAGAATTCGAAAGATCGCATGTGAATTTACGTAAATTTTACAAGCGTCACACGCGATGTGTTCGCGAACGATATGGAACGCGGATAAGTACACAAGCATCACAATGCGCGTTACACCTCGTAGAGGTTGCGAAAGTTCATCGCCCGGTGAGATTTTTCATCCACCTGCGTAAGGATTCGATCGAGTGACGATAAGACCGATTGTGCGTAACCCCAGTTCGGCGCGTGGGAGTCCCCGGTGAAATTTGAACGAATGCGAAATCGTAATGTCGCCTGTATAGGCTGGCGCATAATATAGCTTACTTACATAATGTGCGATAAAAGCGTTGTTCTAAGTGATCCCGTGTGTCCTGACCTTTCGCTTTCACTCCCCCTACCTCGATCTGACCAATGCACCGTTCAGACCGCCGATCGAACGGCTCGATCATGTCTGGATCGGAAATACGCGCGCGCGCTCCAACAATTCGCAACGCTACGAAACACGTTCAGGATCCGCGATGGAAACATTCGATTTAACGCGCGCCTCGATCTGCTATGTATAATTTATATGTTCCGCGATATAGATCTGCGTACGGTCGAAGCTTTTGTGCGATACGTACGAAGATCGAAAAAATTAGCTTCTTACAACTTCGTTCCGCGACCAGCGCACCGTCTGGCGTAACTACAGCGTCAATTATCATTATACAACGTCTATGTTTGTTATTATTATTATTATTGTCATTATTATTATCATGAGATATTTGTCCACACATATGCAGAGTTTGATAATAACTAGGTAATCAGTTAAAAGTTAAGTTAAAAAGTTCATAAACGTTCATAAAGTTTGCACTTAGTTAATTTTAAATGAACCCAAATTTTAACTTGAGCTAATTATTTTAAAATGTATCAATTTAATGTATGTATGACGGTCGATTTCATATATTTGCTACATTTGTTCGTTTAGAATGTGGCTGATTTCGTTAAAACGATGTTTGTTTCTTCAGGACGGAACTATCGGTTCGGAATTAGTTATTCGGCCACTGCCAGAACGGGTTCTGCAAGAAGTAGTGAGCAAATCGCCAGCTCTTCGGGAATCCACATTACTGCCAAACCTCACCGAGAACGAGAACTTGAGACGCACGAGTCACCACGTCATTTTCAAAAAAGTGGACCGACCCGTCAGTGATGAGTACAGCGACTTTTGTGAGTGTGTGCTATACACGGGACAATACGAAACAGTATATAGGGCGAAGAGTGAGCGGTAGAACTCTTACGTACTCTTACGCGATGCAAATATTTCAGCGCTCATGGAACCCGATCATCTAGCCAAGAGATATAGGATCAAGCGTTCGACCAACAACAGGTCGAAACGCGAAGCACCATACGTTATTTACCCGGAAATCCTTTGTATTGTGGATTACGATGGGTACAGGTGAGTCGACTAATGTAATACATAAGTACATTGGGAAAAAGTTTGATAATAACCATTAAATCTGGATAATAGTTACCAAATATCTTGGTGAAATAGTTTCAACTAAACTCTCTCTTGTAGGTGAATACAATCAAATAATCTGGTAAGTATCAATAAATAACCTTAGTAAAGTTTAATATCTGTTGTTGAAACTTGATGACTATTACCGATTTATTTGAAACAAAGCACCAATCAATTTTTCAAACAAAAGCATTTAGTTTAATTATGCTACATTATGTGATAAATATATAAAGTGACAAAGTATTCTGCTAATAATTGAACTATTTAATAATTATTACCAATAATTATTTTGTCTTATTTACCAAATCATTTAATTGGTTCAACTAAATAAGAAACTTGTTTTACTAATTATTTTGTAATTATTATCAGAGACGGTTGGTGATTATTACCATATTTGATACTAATTGCCAAATATTGCACTAAAACGCTCGACCAAGTACGTTTGTTAACTATTACAAGACTTTTTTTTAGTGCGTATCATATAGAGATAATCGAAATTAACAAATTATATAAGTAGGCTTTCTAAGTACATAACTCTCTCTCTCTCTCTAAAATAAGAAAAACACGGCCAATAAGAGTCAGTCGCAGATTAGCTCTAACTCGACTAGATATTAGTGCGAACAATAATTTTATTTAAACAAACTATATAAGAGGAAATGACAATATACTCTTACTTTTATTACTTTTATCGTATTGTTCACATTTTCCTAGCCATTATATCGCGTATAATATTATTTTCACCTTTTCTCTTCCTATTTTAACGCTTTCTCCTATAATGGTTACCATAGAGGTTCTCCTGTAATGATGCAAATTATTAGTATTTGTATAAGCATCGCGTTGGTATTCACAACAATAAGTGTGAGCAGTCAAGTTACAACGTCTACTTTTCTCGTTATGTGCAATTTCGCTTTAATATTTATCATTTTTAGCACTTATGCGAACCGATCCTATTTTCTCGTTTCAGATTGCACGGCGGCGATAACGTGCAGATAAAGAGGTACTTCGTATCTTTTTGGAACGGAGTGGATCTGCGGTACAAGTTATTGAAAGGTCCAAAAATACGTATCAGTATAGCGGGAATAATCATCTCACGGGTAAGAGACAGACATCTAATTGTTTTCGATTATTCTATATATTTGCTTTATAAAATTCGTACCAAATTTTGGCTCGAATATCTTATTTTTGTTAAGTTCGTCGAAATTTCCTTACAATCGAAAATCTCGTGTATAATAAGTGGCATTTATTGAAAATATAAGATATATTGCTGTTTGCATTCCGGCGTTCTGCATCCTCCGTCCTGACTTTACAATTTAGTATCCTGCTCTTAAAGATTGATTGTGTATCTTAGAAAATTACAAATGTGAACTCGAAAAACGGTGTTTATAGTCAGATCTTATATTTAAAATTGTCTTTGGAATTATTGATTAGAAAAAAATTGACTATTTGAGATACTTGCAACTAAAATTGACTTTTCATATATGTTTCTTGAGATTAGCATGCTATTTGTAATTTCTATTTTTAATATCTGCTAAACTACATGTGAGATTTTAATGAAAATATACTAAGATATTAAAGACGATTATTACTAATAATTGCGCTATTCTTTTCATATTTCTTGTACAAAACTTACATAAATGTGTGTTGCTTTGTTTTACAATATTCGCTCTAGGAAAGCGAGACGCTAGCAACAAAAGAAGCTAGCGACAAGCGTCAAGAAAAACTCAGTGTAAAATAAACGCTCAGTGTATCTTTTTAGAACGTCTCAAACCGGAAAACAGCAATATATCATATATTTTCAAGTGTGTTAAACCATTTATTATAAGAAGTATCCAATTTTAACGAACATTTGATAAATTTAACGAGAATAAGGAAATATTCAACAAAAATTCTCTTGGTATAAATTTAATATAGATTTAAATACACAAGTCCTAGAGAGTTTTTATTTTTGTTATTTTTCCTCTCGAAAATTGATATAAATTTTCTGAACAACCCAGTTCTGTATATACTGAACCGGATAATTAACTGTTACTCATTTCCCTTCGGCTATACACTGGAGAAAAAGTATCTGAAAAATAGAAATATTTTTTATATTTCAGTATTTTTATAAAAAATATTGATTAGGTGTGAACTGATAACATTTTTACTTATACTGATATACATATTTTTATATTGAGAAAAAGATTTTTTCAAGTGATAAAATATGCATTTTCTCAAAACCGTATCTTTTCATGAAAGCAATTGTTTGTTCTCTTTAAATAAAAGAATTTAGATTTAAGAATATATACTAGTAATCCACCAAATAAATAATTTTTGTTTTTTAGACATTTTTTCCCTCTGTGTATGAATCTTTTGACGAATCAAAATAATTTTTTAGCCGCATATAACATTACATAAAACCACATAATAAATAATATTATTTTATATTTAGCAATTAGTAATTTTCTTACGATCACAATACTTCCTGTGCTAGCGATTTAAGATCTCCTTTCTAAACTTGAGAAAGTTATGATCTCCTAAAGAAAGTATTCATCAAAACAAAAGAAAAAAAAATTAGCGGCCGTTAGGAAATGCGGTAGCGACGGAACACTTCGTGCAAGCTAAAATCGCGTTATATCCAGGGACGGGACGCGACGCCGTACTTAGAAAGGAATCGCGTGGGAAGAGACGCAATCGACTCGGCAGCCGCTCTGACTGACATGGGCAAATATCTTTTCCGGGAGAGGAGACTTCCTGTATACGACATCGCCGTTGCCGTTACAAAGTAAGAGTGCCCGATCTGTAAGGAGACGCGCGCGGCTTAAGCGAGTCGCAGCATACAACGACACACACTCGTTGATAACCCAAACTTTCCATTTATTATTTCAATAAGCAGCTAAAACCGCTAATAGATTTTTTATCTCTGCAAAATGATACGATAACACACGCGCGCGTGAGTACACCTTTTTGATATTTCAGCAATGAATCTGAATGTTCCAATTTAATTTAATTTTCGCGCACATCGACTTGATAATAATATCATGTTCTTGATGGAAAAGTTTCCATTGAAATCGTGAATGTGTAAAAGGAAAAAAGAACTTGATCACGGACTTCTTGCACACGATACATCGTGTATGATCTGTAAGAATTTTTATGAAGGATTCTTTTATAGAAAACTTTTCCATCAAGGATATAGAGCTCTGTCCCGACGTTCATAAAGACCGTGACCGCACCGTTTCTTCTTGCGCGCTACGACCGATATCGTTTATTATAATCATTATGATCTATTCTGATGATTTCATACTCTCGATTTTTATCCCGCAAAACAGGTATGATATGTGCCGTCGTAGGAAAGGCGGCCGCTGCACTAAGGGAACTGCCGGTATGGTTTATTACATAGATCACGCTTCTTTATTGTTACTTTTTTTTTACATCTCTCGTACTGTATACCTTACATTGTACAGCATCCGCTAGCTTGTATATAGTTGACGGTACTGACGGAATAGTAATGGTGATCTAGTCTAACAGGTGCAGTAGCATTGTTAAGGGAGTTCAAGTCTCGAGGAAGATATTCCTTCCTAGAGTGATACGGTGAGAATCAGTATTAAACGCGTGTTGCAAGCAATTCGCGATTCGATTGCTCCGTAGTGACACATTGGAAAGAACGAGGAAGTAAGAATATCTTTCTTGCATGAACCTGTATGATATGAGGGCGACGAATGGAATTGAGAGACTTGTAATTACCCGTCTGCGAGACAATGTATTTGCAATTCACCAGAGCTTCTTACGCACATCCGAGCGAGGAGCGAATGAGCGGGTATATGGTACCACTAATCTTACCAATTAATAACGCGCGCTTAACGGCCGTGCATCGTTGTTATTACGCCGATTAATCGCGCTAATCGCGGTAATGTGATTTCACGCGCAGAACGTATCCGGTAAATCCGTAAACTTGGAAACATATCGCCGTTTGTACGACCCACACCCAAGTGTAAGATTCAGAAAACTTTTTATTTATACAACTAAATTATATTATAAAATCGTACATTTGTGTACATGGTGAGTCACACTTAACATTAGATTCCAAAATATCTTTGTTGTTTTTTTATATTAGAAGGAAATATGCAAGAAATAATTTGTAGTGTGAAAGTATAATTTTTTTTTATTGACTACAATATTGATCCAACTAAACAATTTGTTTCTTACACATTTTCTTCTAATCCTTTTTAGTCTTCAATTATTGCCGGCAACTCAGGAAATATAATTAATATATTATTTACTCGGTTTTGAGTAAACAAAACGATAAAATTATATAATTAGTTCAAGAATTTTTGTTTAGCGTGTCCCCGACATATTAAACTCAAAACCCAAAAACATTTTATTCAAAGATAATTCTAATTATTCATTAACTTTAAAAACGGTTTGAGCTTTATATTAATATTTTTTAAAAATCTACGTCTATATAGTGAGTATTAATTTAAAACTATGAATTGTATATCGTGACTAGTATTTATAGAAGTTACTCAGCATACGTAAAAAAGATCTCAAAAGTTTTAAATAAATTTGATTAATATTTTTCAAATATTTGTGTTTTCTGGTATTTTTAAAAATTTTCTAGATAAAGTGGTTACAATATTAAGAGTTGCCAATTTTTTATCGAATGACTAAAGCTTCAATCTTTGAAACGAGCTTTTTTCGGAATTGATAAGCCAAAAATTGTTAAAATAATTTTTGGGAATATCTGTGTGTGTGGGATATATATATATATATATATATATATATATATATATATATATATATA